AAAACCTTATTTTTAAAAGAAAAAAAAAAAAAAAAAAAAAAAAAAAGAAATCTATTAGTACAGGTAAAGACACTAGTTTTATATGGACACTTGTGCCATGTGCAGAAGGATGAAAGTGGTGGAAATACAGGGTGTTTTTTTAGCAGGTTGAACTGTTTCCAGGTCTAAAACGTGTTTTCCTTTTTTTCTTTCTTTTTTCTTTTTTTATTTCTTCTTTTTTTTTTAATTTTTTTTTTCAGTTTCCACTTAATCATTTTTTAAGGTATAGCATTTAGAACATGTCAAAGTGATTTCTAGATACATTTTATTAGTGGATAAAGAAGCAAAAGCTTAGCTAGCAAACTGCAAGCCATTTTTATTATTGCTTCTCTTTCAATTTACTGATTTATTTTGATACCAGAATTTGCTATTATTGTCTTGTGAAATCCAGAAAAAAATTAATTTTTACAAGGCTTTTTATGTCAAGAGTAAAATTAAGTAATTTCTAGGAATTTATTGCAATGACAGAATACTTGGGGAGAATAAACATCCATTTTCAAAACATTACAACATTTTTATATGCTTGAAGCCTACAAAATCAAAGGGGAAAATAAAAGAGTATGTCTTTTTTTTGATTTTAATTAAGTGAAAGAAATACAATTCTAAATGAATCTTCATCCTCAATTTTAACAATGGAAATTATTTGTTACATGTTGCTAGCATAACTTCATGCATTAGACAAACAGGTATTCCACCCTTCATTAAGCCTGAGGTGTGATAAGTTGCAGGCCTGCATTAAGCTTGTCATGCTTTTGCATCAGCCCCGTCTCAAAGAATGAATGATAGTCTGTCGGTTGCAGCGTTTAATTTAGCTAATGAAAAAGTATCTTCGTGTTAGATGTCAAGTACTACAACAGGGTCACATTCTGCCACCTTTATTTAGTAGTGCTTTACTCCATGAGTAGACGCATTGATGTGAGTGAGACTACTCACACAGGCCAAATTGTGAATCACTTATAAATGTTTATTCACAATGGCCCCATTCATGCAAAGAGCTGCTCAGCACAACGTGAGTAATCGGTTCATAATCAGGCCCAGCTTAAGGTACTATTCAGCTCTGGTAAGGATGGCAGAATCTGGCTCAGACTGGCTTAAGGCCAGACTCAGATTTCTCAACCAAGATGAGTAGCTCCTTATTCCACAAACAGTGCAAATAGAGCCAACAGGGTTAGTTGTAGGGTTCTCTTTTTATAAGAAAATTCTAGAAAAGCAGCATTTCAGTATATGCAAATAATTTGAGTGTCTATCCAAGGTAAATTCTTTTATTTTCTACCACACTGTACTCCCACATTTGACAGTACTTATGTTCTTGTGCTTTGATTTTATCCACTTAATGATTTCTTAGCATGAGCAACCAATCTTTTTGCTGCTTCTTCAACATGTGGCAAATGCACTAAAAACAAAAGGAGGTGATTTACATAGCCTTCCTGCCAAGTACTTTAACTAATGTTTGAGATATGTGATCATCATGCAATGCTGAGAAGTAAATTTATAGAACTTCTGGGCAAAGAGTCCCTATCCTGTTAAAAGAGAAAGTGAAATGTTGTTGTAATTATTGCTGTGAAGAATTTGTGATGACATAGTGCTGCACTGTTTTTTCTCTTATGATTGATTCATCAACAATTTGAAAATGTGAAGCCAGTATTTGAAACAAATTTTTGAACAGATGTAAATTCATCTACGAAAATTAAAATCTTCTTTAAGATTCGTACAGACTCACATGAGTGACGGACCACACTGCACTTAACAGCTAAAGACCCAGGCTACCATAAAGATGGTCAGAAAAGTTTCACACAACTGATTTCTACATACAGTTTAATCATCAGTGTTACATATCATGGGAACATATCAATGAAGGCATCTTTTGTTGCTGAGAATAAGCTGCAATGAACTAAACTTCTCATTTTGCTTTTTTACAGTCATAATATTTTACATCGTCAAGTGTCAAAAAAAATCCAGTTCAATATGTGAAAGGCATTTTATTTTGACTGTAAACTTTATGATAAGGCTCTGAAGTATATAATTTAATGAATACTACCAATACTATGCATTTTATACTGAGATACTTTAGCATAATAGAAGTAAGTGATTTTGTTTGCAAAGAATAAAATATGGTCGTGTTCTCAAAATGACACAGATGAATTAATATTTTATTGATAAAATTCTAAATATCAGAGATAATTAGAAATCAGAGTTAAATCAGCCTGATCAGAGTTAGAACTCAATTAAAACACTTACACTGCTAAAATTAAAAATGTTTCCAGAAGAAGGTTTTCTGTGACAAGGCACTGATTTTTTTCCCTCAGCACCTTCACAACCAATTAACAAGCAGCCCACTAGTGTCCAGAATACATTTTTTTCTTTTTTTTTTTTTTTTTTTTTTCCTTTACAGGGTTCTTTTTAGATTTGGATGGTATCAGAATGATAGTAAGACATTGTGAGTTACCTGAAGCTTGGTACCCATTTATTTTATATCACTTTTATCGACCTAAAGAAGCTGAAGTATATATCTAGATTAACTAGATTTACAGCTGCTTTGCATTTCCAGTGCAACACAAAACAGCTGTGATAGACTGGTGAATTATCATATGAAATACTAGTGGTATAAGCAAACTGATTAAGTCAAGATCCAGAATGTAAAATTGTGGTAGCTTAAAGAACATATTTTAGATTTAAACTGTGCAAAACAAGCAGCAGGCTGGGCAAGCACTGAATGTGAGGTGTGGATATGAGAGAAGGAGTGTGCAGTGAGTGCAACGGGAAGATGACTGAGAATGGCAGGATAATCTTCTGGGAGGAGAGTCAGGGTTCAGTGCTGGAATAAGGAGGAAACTTAAACCCAGCACAACCCTCCTTTCCCTCTCTTACCTAAATTCCTCCACCTAAACCTCATCAGGACCTGTGAACATAAGATTTATTTTGCTGCCACCTCTCCTGTCTCTGTTTGCAAGAACAGTATGGGTTTAAGGAGGGATATAAAGGACCCCAAAAAGTAAGTCTCGAAGAGGCAGGACAGATAGGTGTATGACTGCCACTGTCAATAAAAACATATTGGGAAATTGAAGAGCAATTTTGTAGAGAATCATCTCTAACAATGAATTTCAGGTTTTCTTTCCCTTCATTTTTAAGGCATCATGAGGACAGAACAGTAAAGCACAGCGGTGAATGGACCAGTGAGTCTGCCAAATTTCCGAAGCACGGTCATTCTCCTTTGCACCATAAACTCATTAAACCTGATACAGCTGTATTATGCAAATGAAGGAACACATCACAACACTCTCACACAAGAGGTATTTGAGATATTGTCCTGTTTCTGCCTTTTTTTTACTCTATTTAAATAACAAT